GTGTTAAAGCTTCGGAAAACGGACGAAAAACGTAACTATCTCTATTCGAAAAGTTTCCGAAAACACATCAAGAAGACGACTGTGCCTGATCGGACTACATACATGCTCATCATCATGCTGGTTGTGTTTCTCGTCACCGAGTTACCGCAAGGATTTCTTGCACTGCTCAATGGTCAGTCATTTTCTCTTTGCACTGCTTAATGGTCAGTCGTTTTCCCTTGAGTTCAGAAAAGGGCAAAGTGCCAATAATGTCTTAATTTTGTGCTCTGTCCCATTTGTAAGGTGGACATTTTGTTCAGCCGGCATTAGACCTACTTGTCGCACTGCGAGGTCTAGACGTTGTTCAGAGCCCAAGAAGCGCATTATGTTGGTAAACAGCCTCCACTTCAGGCTTCCCTGACGTGATCTCAGCGGGAAAGGGTGCTAAAAAACATTCTACATTAGGGCACAGGTTAAGAAAGGGGTGATACAAAGAACGGCCGAGGCTCCTTACATGTCCACGGGGAGGAGTACACCAGTGGGGAAGCCACAGTGGTTCTCTCCGTCCACATGATCAGCGTGCGCTGTGCCTTCAGAAGATGGCTTCTTTCGTATTCTGCCGCCAGATTGTATTGGAGCACTACTGCAGTTATACGTGCCAGTTGTACGTTCATAACACGCACTGACGGAATCGAAAATTCTCCAGGATACAACCCTTCCCCAATTCCCCTATAGCGCGACCGCCTCCAGCAAATCCTACCTACCGTCGCGCCAAATTTCTTCAAAATTTTGCCGGGCAGGGTGGAGGCACCGCTGGCCAACCGTCAGCAATAGTAATTACACACGGGTACATAGCTCACACGACTCCCGTCCTTCCAGCGACCAAATACCAATCCCATTGGGGATTCAGCAACGCATAACGTAGCGTAATGCTTAGTAGGGTCCGCCACTTATGTTTTTTTTATAGGCGTCTACACCACTGATGTGAACAACTACATCTATCAGCATGTTGGGGAGCTTTTCGATTTGTTATCGCTAGTGAACTGCAGGTATGTGTGAAGGAGTTATTTTTTAGAACAAATAATACAATCCAAAAATGCACGTCCGAAATGAAAATCGCAATGAGAGTTGTTTGGAACGGGCTAATATGATTTGCGATACTTTTGCATTTCGTTTTTGTTAGTACTGCGCTGCTACTAGTGTCTACAAGTCTATTTCTAAATAAACTGTCGCATGCCGGAAATCTGATGAAGCTGTGGCGAAGCATGTTAAAGACCAGGTGGCCCACAGAAGCCTACAGACGTGCAGGATTTCCGGCCAGAACAGAATTGGGCTCCTGAGCAGGTTCCCTGCTAAGAAATACATCTTATAGCGCCTCCTCAAAGGCTGAAAGCACCTATACCGGGGCGCCCGAAGCTACGCGCCTACGAATGTGCCGAAAAATGCTGAATACTCGTATCGGCTTCATCTTTTGCGCGAGTACAGAATGAACTCAAGGATTGGATATGAAGCGCTAGCTGCTATCTACCCTAGCAGAATTACTTTGGCGAAGTCAACGAAGCAACTCCTCCGAAATCACTTTCTGAACGACTGTTAGCAACGCTTTTTACGGCGCAGTTTATCGACGGGGGGGGGGCATTTTGCTTTCCATAGATGTGTCGACCCATCTAGGTAGCGTTTTCTCGAGTTGACACGTTTTGGGATGGTGGCTAGACGATCCTGCTCCAGCTTTACAAGAGTTCACAAGTTTTACCAAGGTGAGATTTGCAAACCGGAACAAGGGAAGCAGCGGTAGTACAAAATGCCCCCCGTCGATAAACAGCGCCCTTTTTACAGGTTTTTGGCCGTTTTACGTTGCTTTGTCGCAATTTTCCCCACTATATAGCACTCATGCTACCATTTCAGACCGAGAACCAAATTACGGGGCCTTATTGATATTTAACTGTTAAAAAAACAACAGTTGTGACATGGCCTCTCATTTTGTATAGGACCCACCATTACATAGATTCGTTCCGCTTGTTCCCTGCCCAGGCTCATCTTGTATTCTTCCACCTCTCGTCTACTGCTATCGTGTCGCAGGATGCCTCGCTTCTCAGGATTTCGTCCGAATCCAGGAGTTTGTGTTTACGGGGATTCGGACGATTTCGTCCTCGTTTTGCCTCGCTTGGCAGGTCAATTATCATCTACCAGTTCCACATGTGTACCAAAAGTAGCTGTGTTCGCCTGTGAAAAGAGGGTGGGGCCACCTTACTAGTTTTCACATTGTGAGGTAATTTCGTTGCATTACTTCTGAACCTGTGTTGCGGACTGAACGCTTCATAAGTTTGTTTCATTCAGCTACTCACAAGGGATTATTATCAGGCGAAGAAAGCTAGCAGAATTTAGAACTATGGCATCCCCAACCCACCGGGTCGACAAGAGCACGTAAAGCCCACAATTCAAATAAAATTATCGCCATGCTTTTTCATATGAATGGAAAGTCTTGCTGACCAAGAATTAGGCCCCTATTGAACTATTCTACCCCAAAAACTCAGAAAAAAATTTTTTCGCTGAAACGTTGTCTATAGGTGTAATTCGATGCGCTGATCACGAATATAGCATCCGTTTTGAGCGTTGGCGTCATTTGGCGCCATTATGCACCAATATTGGTACGCCACACGTTTTTTCAAGCACTGATGAAAACTTGCAAATATAGAGGGCTAATTGAGCGTCATGTTACGAATATCACACTTGGTTCGAAACGTTGGCGCCATTTGGCCGCCATCTATGCCGCCGATAGGGGTGCCAAAATTGGCCGCGTAATGGCGGCTAAATGGCTCCAGCGCCAAAAAATGGAATGTCGGATTCGGATATTAGGACCTCAAGTTCAACCCCCCCATACGCAAGTTCTTCATCGACTTTCGATGAAAAAAATTAGATGGCACCAATTTGGTGCATAATGGCGCCAAATGACGCCAGCGCTCGAAACGGATGTGATATTCGTGATCAGCGCATCGAATTACATCTATAGGCAACGTTTCAGCGAAAAAATTTTTTTGAGTTTTTTGGGGTAGGAATAGTTCAATAGTGCCAAAATTTTTTTTTTTACTCTCCAATTTTGAAACGTCATCCACATTTCACCTGTTTCAGTGTCGACTTCGTGCTGTACTGTTTCATGAGCTCACGATACCGACAAACGTTTGGTCATATTCTGATCCGGGTGGAAAGCTGGTTACGAAACCAGAGCAGTGGCTGGAAATACTCAAAAGATATCCCCAAAACTCCACCACCTACAGTTGTATAGTAGTAGTGATTTTTGATGACGGCGCCCTTGTATGTATTTATTTGTTGCTACAATTGTTCAACGCTCCAAGACGGGTTTCTTTGCCCCACATGTAAATAATTCAGCTTCTAATATTTTTATGATGCTATAGGCTAGCTAATGCTGAATTGCCACTGCAGTATACGGCCAATATCAAGAATTCTTTTCTTTTTTGTATGTATCCAGCCAAAAATCAAGAGCGCTGAGTTTCCAGCTTCATGTGAAACTATTGAAGGGTTGTCAAGTGCAATACCAATTCTCGATGTCCTCCTCTCTCGCTGGAAATGTGTGAATTAGGGTCACTTCGCAGAATCTCTGTATTGTACCTCCCTATGCCAAACTTGTTGGTCATTTCCTAGCCAAATCCTTCCAGTAATTTCTCGCCATTACGAAGTTTTACTTTACGGGTATTAATAATAAAGACGATTTCTATTTTTATTTTTCATCGTGTTGTGCCTGACTCAGTCAGGCAACGTGTCAAGGAGAAGCAAATCGGGTGGTCGCTTTACACATATTAGTGATCGAATCACCCGGGGTAAGCATAACCTCTCCAGCTGGTACCACCACAGACGAGGCCTAATAATTGTGGCTTTTCCTCACGGTGCTATTTGTAGCAGTAAATGTCTAGAGTCTTCGCCGTTGATCAGTCTTTGGGATGCGGCACGCATTCTACTTCCATTCAGAATCGTGGCTTATTAAATGCGATGTGGCCTATACAATGACTTGCGGAAGCCAGCCGACGTGCAAATTGTTCCTCCCAGACGAATCTCGTACGAGTTTACCGTCCTCGGAGATAGAGGGCTTGGTTGACCTGAACAGAAATCGACCCGAAATTTCAACCAAGGACCGCGCGAGTGGTAGGAGCGCCACTTGTCACTACACCACCTCCGCCTCATTTTCGTAGCAGTGCCTAGTCCAAA